CTCTTTCCCGTGAAAATTGACTGCTGCCTTTTCACATCATTGAGCTTTGTGGACTCACATTATCCTGGAGTCCCTTTGTAAACTGACTGTCCAGTAGGCAGGATCTACAGCTAAAGGGCATTCTGTTCACTTTTATTGAGCACCTACTATGTGCCACTTATAGTGTTAGATGTCCAGAATAGAGACACCAGCAATTCATAGCTGCTGGCCTAATTGGATCATATATATATTTTTTAGACTAAAAAATAGGACACTAGTAATATATACATATTGTACATTTTGAAAAAACCAAAGGTATTAAAAAAGAAAAGAAAAAATAATAATACCATCACCCTGAGAAAGTTATTGTTAAAGTTTTGATGGATACTGTTCTGGATTTTTTTCTATGCATATGTAATATATAATTTTTAAAAACAAAAAACAACCTTCAAGAAGAATTGTAATATTGTTCTGTATCACATCCCAATGTTTGTTGAATGTAGTTCTTAGATTTTAAGGTAGTATAATTTGACCTGTGGAATACTTAAATTTGCTTGTTAATCAGCCACGTTGTGGTTTTATCTGTAGGATACGACTCATTACAGAATTTTTATTGTAAGTATGATATGACCATAAACTATCTTTGTCATTATGGAAATCCCTTGAACTCCCTTATAAAAAAAACAACACCCGAATCCTCCAGGGTTGCTACAGTAGTCATCTATTGCTACGTAAAAAAGTTTCCCCCAAACTTAGTGGTTTAATAACAGTAAACATAATTGCCCATATTTTCTGTGGATCCTACCTGGGAATGGCTTGGCTGCATGGTTCTGGCTCAGAGCCTCTCATAACATTGCAGTCAGATGGCAGCCAGGACCACAGTCATCTGCAAGTTGGACCAGGGTTCAAAGGTCACTTCCAAGGTGGCTCACTGACATGGCAGGTAAGCTGGTGCCAGCTGTCGGTGGAAGACCTCAGTTCCTCCCCACGTGGGCCTGTCTGCAGGGTGCCTGAGTGTCCTCTGGACTTAGGGGTGACTTCTTCCAGAGCGAGCCATCTAGAAGAAGGCGAGCCAGGCAGAGCCTGTCCTTTTTATGGCCTCGCCTCAGAGGTATGTAGCATCAATTCCACCCTGTAGTGTGTGTTAGAAATGATTCACTACGTCTGACTGACATTCAAGGTCGGCGGGGAAGAGCCTCTAGAGCCCTTGTGAAGGAAGGAGTGTCAGAATTTGCAGACATGTTTCAGGGAATTTCCCGGTGGTCCACTGGTTAGGACGTTTCTTTCTTTTTTTCCCTTTTTTCTGTGTTATATTCTCCAATGACCTTTTTCTCTTTTTTTTAAACATCTTTATTGGAGTATAACTGCTCTACAATGTTGTGTTAGTTTCTGCTGTATAACAAAGTGAGTCAACTATATGCATACGTATATCCCCATATCCCCTCCCTCTTGCATCTCCCTCCCACCCTCCCTATCCCACCCCTCTAGGTGGTCACAAAGCACGGAGCTGATCTCCCTGTGCTATGCAGCTGCTTCCCACTAGCTAACTGTTTTACACGTGGTAGTGTATATATGTCCATGCCACTCTCTCACTTCGTCCCAGCTCACCAGGAAAGCGTTTATTTCTAAACAGTGGAGGAGGCCAGTGAAGGACCAGGGGCTGGGCCCCTCGCTCGCTCGCCCCTGGAACTCTGTGAGTCTGTTAGTGTGGTGGCAGTTGAGTTTCTGCATTGGCTTGTGTCAGCAGTTGGGTGGCACGGAAGCTACTGCCACAAAACCACTGTCTCTGCCTGAGTGCGCCGAGACCACAGGTGTGGCAAGAACGCAGGAGAGTTGTACCACGCATTAATGTGTTTGTTTTTTAAATGCGGTTGGCTTTAATAGCAGTAGTCTTTGAAAACTCAGATTCTCCCCTGAGTTCCCAGAGGATTAGTGATTTGTGGGATTAATGATTCATATCTTTCTCCCCCTCCAAAGAAGCTTGTAAGGAGACAAAGATGTTGTTCATGATGAAAGGTCTTTGATCCCGTATTAGCGTTCAGAGGGCACTGGTGAAGCGACCTCACTTCTGTGATTCCCGAGGGTTCATATTAAGTCTTTTGCAGACGGACACTATCGTTTTCATAAAGGAGCTGTGTCCCCTGTTGCAGGGTAAACATTGTCAGCCTTTGACCTTTGTAGGATTGGGATCAGCCTGGGAAGTGGCTGTCGTACTTGATCGATCTGTGAGTTGCATCCTGAGATTGCTATGTACTTACTATATGTCAGCTGGAGCCACGTTTACTTGTGCTCTCTTAGATAGCAGTCTCAGCTCTATGCTGTATTGTTTAGTGTACTTTTTTTTTTTTTTTTTTTTTTTTTTTCAGATCTTCAGATATCTTATAAAACCACAGTTATAAACAATCAGATCAATCTAACATAATAGGAAATCCAGAATTTAATCCATGTGTGTATGTATACATACATGAATTTGTGTCTATCTCTCTCTCTATTTCTCTATCATCTATCTATCTATCTATCTATCTATCTAT